GCCCGGTCCGGTTCCCATTGTCCGGTCCGGTTCCCAGTGCCCGGTCCGGTTCCCATTGTCCGGTCCGGTTCCCAGTGCCCGGTCCGGTTCCCATTCCCCGGTCCGGTTCCCATTGCCCGGTCCGGTTCCCATTGCCCGGTCCGGTTCTCAGTGCCCGGTCCAGTTCTCAGTTCCCGGTCCAGTTCTCAGTGCCCGGTCCGGTTCTCATTGCCCGGTCCGGTTTGGGTCGGGGCTCCGGTCCGGTTCCCATTGCCCGGTCCGGTTCCCATTGCCCGGTCCGGTTCCCATTGTCCGGTCCGGTTCTCTGTGCCTGGTCTGGTTCCCATTGCCCGGTCCGGTTCTCAGTGTCTGGTCCGGTTTGGGTCAGCGCTCTGGTCCGGTTCTCAGTGCCCGGCCCGGTTCCCAGTGCCCGGTCCAGTTCCCATTGCCTGGTCCGGTTCTCAGTGCCCGGTCCGGTTTGGGTCAGCGCTCTGGTCCGGTTCTCAGTGTCCAGTCCGGTCCGGTTTGGGTCGGGGCTCCGGTCTGGGTTGTCCAGGCTGGTCCTGGGAGCCCCGGGGTGTCTCCAGCCCGGAGCACCCGGGGTGTCCCCAGCCCGGAGCACCCAGGCGTCACCACCCTTGTCACCAACAGCCCCTGCATGTCCCCAGCCCTGTCACCGGAATGTCCCCAGCCCTGTCACCAAGCAGCTCCCGGGGTGTCCCCAGGCCGCTCCCTGGGATGTCCCCAGCCCTGTCACCCAGGTGTCACCACCCCTGTCACCCAGAGCCCCAGGATGTTCCCAGCCCTGTCACCTTGATGTCCCCAGCCCTGTCACCCAGGCGTCACCACCCTTGTCACCAACAGCCCCTGCATGTCCCCAGCCCTGTCATCCAGGTGTCCCCAGCCCTGTCACCAAGCAGCTCCCGGGGTGTCCCCAGCCCTGTCACCAGAATGTCCCCAGCCCTGTCACCAAGCAGCTCCCAGGATGTCCCCAGGCTGGTCCCTGGGATGTCCCCAGCCCTGTCACCAAGCAGCTCCCGGGGTGTCCCCAGCCCTGTCGCCGAGATCCCGAGATGATGTCCCCAGCTCTGTCATCCAGGTGTCACCACCCTGTCACCGAGAGCCCCAGGGTGTCCCCAGGCTGGTCCCCGGGATGTCCCCAGCCCTGTCACCGAGATCCCCGAGATGATGTCCCCAGCCCTGTCACCAAGCAGCTCCCAGGGTGTCCCCAGGCTGGTCCCTGGGATGTCCCCAGCCCTGTCACCCAGAGCCCCAGGATGTCCCCAGCCCTGTCACCTTGATGTCCCCAGCTCTGTCACTGAGGTGTCACCACCTCTGTCACTGAGAGCCCCGGGGTGTCCCCAGCCCTGTCACTGGTGGCCCTAGAATGTCCCCAGCCCTGTCACTGGAATGTCCCCAGCCCTGTCACCGAGCTGTCCCCAGCCCTGTCACCGGGATGTCCCCAGGCTGGTTCCTGGGGTGTCCCCAGCCCTGTCACCGAGGGACTCAGGGATGTACCCAGGAACAGCCCCCAGGATGTCCCCAGCCTGTCCCTGAGGGACTCAGGGCTGTCCCCAGCCCTGTCACCGGGGTGTCCCCAGGAGCAGCCCCCAGGGTGTCCCCAGCCTGTCCCCGGGGTGTCCCCAGCCCTGTCACTGAGGTGTCACCAGCCTGGAGCTCCCAGGATGTCCCAACTCTGGGGTCACCAGGCCAGTCTCTGATGTCCCCAGGCTGGTCCTGGGATGTCCCTGAGAGCCCCAGGATGTCCCCAGCCTGTCCCTGTCCCTTCTCGTGCCACCTCTCGCTGTCCCCTCCCTGCAAGGACCCGGCCTCCCTCGGGGAGATGCCACCAGCCCTGTCCTGTCCCCTTGGGGACCTGCCACCGCCCCTGTGGTGTCCCCTGCTGGGATTTGTCACCTTCTGTGTCCCCTCCCCTTTAGGGACCTGTCACCAGCCCTGTCCTGTCCCCTTAGGGACCTGTCTGTCACCTTCTGTGTCCCCTCCCTGCCACTGTCCCTGTCCCCTCCCCTTAGGGACCTGCCACCACCCTGTGCTGTCCCCTTTGGGGTCTGTCACCTCTCGCTGTCCCCTCCCCTTAGGGACCTGTCCCCACATCTCTGCTGTCCCCTGCAGGGATTTGTCACCTCTCCTTTTGTCACTGTCCCCTCCCTGCAGGGGACCTGTCACCTTCTGTGTCCCCTCCCCTTAGGGACCTGCCACCACCCTGTCCCCTCCCCTTAGGGACCTGTCTGTCACCTTCTGTGTCCCCTCCCTGCCACTGTCCCTGTCCCCTCCCCTTAGGGACCTGCCACCACCCTGTGCTGTCCCCTTTGGGGTCTGTCACCTCTCGCTGTCCCCTCCCCTTAGGGACCTGTCCCCACATCTCTGCTGTCCCCTGCAGGGATTTGTCACCTCTCCTTTTGTCACTGTCCCCTCCCTGCAGGGGACCTGTCACCTTCTGTGTCCCCTCCCCTTAGGGACCTGCCACCACCCTGTCCCCTCCCCTTTGGGGTCTGTCACCTCTCGCTGTCCCCTCCCTGCAGGGATTTGTCACTTCTCTGTGTCCCCTCCCCTTGGGGACCTGTCACCTCTGTCCCCTCCCCTCAGGGACCTGTCCCCTCCCCTGTCCTGTCCCTTTCAGGACCTGTCACCATTCCTGGTGGCACCTCCGATGTCCCTGTCCTGTCACCTGCTGGGAGATGCCACCACCCCTGTCCCTGTCCTGTCACTGTCCTGTCACCTGCAGGGACCTGGCACTGTCCCTGTCCCCAAATCCCACCTGGAAAACCCCAAATTCCACTTGGATCACCCCAAATCCCACCGGGAACCCCCAAAATCCCTCCTGGAACACCCCAAATCCCTCCTGGAACACCCCAAATCCAACCTGGAACCCCCAAAATCCCTCCTGGAACACCCCAAATCCCACCTGTAACCCCCCAATTCCCACCTGGATCACCCCAAATCCCCCCTGGATCACCCCAAATCCCCTCTGGATCACCCCAAATCCCCTCTGGACTACCCCAAATCCCCTCTGGACCACCCCAAATCCCTCTGGACCACCCCAAATCCCCTCTGGATCACCCCAAATCCGCCCTGGGCCACCCCAAATCCCCCCTGGACCACCCCAAATCCCCCTGGA